CGGGTCTCGAACCCGCGGGCTCAGGCAATCCACTCACCTCAGCCTCCCAAAGGTGCGGGATTATAGGCTGAGCCACCGAGCCCAGCTGGAGAATGTCTTAAAATGGCACAATCTATTGGAAAGAACTTGGGATTTGGAGTTGAGGAGGCCTGGGTTTGAGGCTTCTCCCCCCACATTCTACTAAATGAGTAACATTAGATGGTTTTTCAAATTTCTCATCATTTATTTCCTTACCTGTTAGGTGGTTATAATAAGATCTACCTTGGAAGGTTCTTGAAGCAATTAAGATGTTGGTCATAGAACCTTATGAACTGAACAGTAAAGTACTTTATAAATACTATTTTAAATTTCTGTAATTTTCCTTTTCTTTCTCTCTTTTTTTAAAAATAGAGACAGAATTTCACTCTGTTGCCCAGACTGCAGTGTAGTGGTATGATCATAACTTGCTGCAGCCTCTAACTTCTGGGCTCAAGTAATTCTCCTATCTCTGCCTCCTGAGTAGCTAGGACTACAGCTGTGCGCCACCATGCCTGGCTAATTTTATTTTTTGTAGAGATGAGGTCTAGGTATGTTGCCCAGACTGGTCTCAAGCTTTTGGCCTCAAGTGATCCTTCTACCTCAGACTCACAAAATGCTGGGATTACAGGCGTGAGCCACTGTGCCTGTTATACTTTTTCTTTGTAAAGCATGTATGCACTCCACCTAAGAGGAATTTGGGGAGTAATTAGATATTTGAATTTTTGAAAAATTACCTCGAGACTATGTTCTCCTTTGATGTTTATGGACAAATTAAATACAGTGAACTCTCGATTTAGTATTACGTCCTTGGACTTGGACTGTAACTTCTACCCTGATCTAAACACATGATTCTATATTGAATATCTCAAGATGTATTTATCTTTATATGTAAATGGAAAATGCTATTGGGATTGTTAATGTGAGTAGTGTTCATCACTATATGGGAAATTACTCACTGTAAGATTTTTTTTAGTTTTCTCCCAAACTTGGCTAGTCAATTACATTTAGACTAGAATTAAAAATTTTAATAGACTTTGACTTTTCTTTTTAAATTGAAAATTTTCATATGGGCATTATTTATCTTGTGCTTGGTATTGCAGTCTTTTCCTGGGCATTGACATTATACTTGAAGAAAGTAAGACTTTGACCCTTTAATAGCCAGTTATATTGTCTGTGTATGTGTGTATGAGTTGTTTTGGCTGCTAAATGCTCTTGTGGAAAGGATGAATTACTATAAAACCTCAATAAAATATGCACTGTGAATTGTCTGTAAATTATAATGGTACATAGTGGTTTTCAATATCTCTTAAGCTCCTGAAAACTATATGTATGTCTACATATGTCATATGTCTAGGACATATGAAAGACATAAACCCAGGCCAGACTCAGTGGCTCAGTGACTCAGTGGCTCAGCGGTACAGCAGCACAGTGGCTCAGCGGCTCAGCGGCTCAGCGGCTCAGCCCCTCAGCCTGTAATCGCGCACTTTGGGAGGCTGAGGCGAGTGGATTGTTTGAGCCTGAGGGTTTGAGACCAGCCTGGGCAACTTGGTGAGACCTTATCTCTACAATAAATCAAAAATTAGCCAGGTGTGGTAGCATGCGCATATAGTTCTGGCTACTTGGAAGGCTGAGGCAAAAGAATCGCCAGAGCCCAGCAAGTTGACGCTGGGGTAGCCATGAGTGCATGAGTGTGCCACAGCACTCTAGCCTGGGCAAGGTAGTGAGACTCCAACTCAAAAAAAAGGCTGGGCACTGTGGCTCACACCTGTAATCCCAGCACTTTGGGAGACTCAATGTGAGAGGATTGCCTGAGCCTGTGGGTTTGAGACCAGCCTGGGAAACTTGGCGAGACCTTATCTCTACAATAAATAAAAAAATTAGCTGGATGTGGTGGCATGTACTTGTAGTTCCAGCTATTTGGAAGGCTGAGGCGGAAAGATCTCCAGAGCCCAGCAGGTCAAGGCTGTGGTGGCAGTGAGCATGCCATTGCACTCCAGCCTGGGCAAAAGGGTGAGACTCTTAACTAAAAAAAATATTTATATTAGTTTTTTTAATTCTTATTTTGGATTGTGGGTATGCTTTAGATGGATTACGAACCTTTTCTTTTTTTTTTTGAGTTGGAGTTTCACTCTTTTCCAGGATGGAGTACAGTGGCACACTCACAGCCACCGCAGCCTTGACCTGCTGAGCTCAGGTGATCCTTCAGCCTCAGCCTTCCAAATAGCTGGAACT